GGAAGGCTGACGTTTCGGGCCTAGACCCTTCATCAGAAATGATGTTATAATCAACGCTGGCAGCAATTTTCCACAGTATTTTATTCTTAATTTGATAACAAGATCAGTCTCGTTTGGCAAACTGGTAAACAAAGCAATAATTATTTTGATTGCTCCTGTTACACCCACATCAAGTCAAGCCAGCTGTTATGCTTAAACGATAAAGGACTGACAAATGACAACATTTTCTTCTGGTATCTGCACAAGTCATCATGTCTAATGAAAAGAGAAAACTGAAATTATTTAATGACTTGCAATCGGGAATTTATTGCGGAGAAAAATCTGACCTAGATTGATAACAAGCTAGAAAACAACAACTTTTCACTATGGCCAACATTCCTGTATGTCTGCACAATGACACGTTCATACAGGACATACTTTGACCAGTCAATTTACATGAATTGCACTGTTTAACAATGTACCAAGGAGAGGTAGATTCCTCATCTGTGTACAATTACACAAATTTAAAAATATTTAAATAATTGTTTAAAATTGCTCATTAGGCCAGCAGATCCACTGGGATAGTGATGGTTTGTTAACCTCCATCCATTTAGGGAGATGCATAGAATATAATATGGTGCTGTTGCTTGTTTGAACAGTAACTCTACTGTTTACTGGCAGTAAGCATTGAAATTTTAGCTAGCCAACATGTCTTAAAAATAGCCTCAACCTCTTAACAGGAAATGTAATGTTCCATGTTGGCAGTCATGAAGGAAGCAAATCCAGCTTGGGAAACAGCAAATAGTGTGGCACTACGTGGGAGAACACCTTTTTTCTGCTTTTTATCTCATCCCAGACCAAAGCAGTGCAGTGCACAGTACAGTTGGGTCTCGTGCAAGTCGACTTGCAATCTCCCACAATAGAAAAATCAGCAACACGCCAGTCACGGAGGTACATAACATCGCATAGATGTAGAGGAGAGAGCAAAGCACACAGAAGACAACTTCAAAGGGTGAGGAATATTGAATGCTTCGTTGGATAGAGTTGGCTTACACTGCTTATTTTTTAAGTGTATTTTAGGCAGTAAAAACATTGCTGAAGAACACAGTCTGCTCATTCACATTTTTAACGTCATTACAGTTCTCAATACACATGTTGCCCACTGCGCATCAGTGGTGCACCAATGTAATGGGCTCGCTTATGAAGAGCTTTGGGGCCCGACAGCCGCTCACTAGTCTATCATGGTGACTGAAATATTATTCGTACATTGTAACTGTGCAATATAAGGCGTCATGGCTGTTGCTATCAGATATTGGCAAGTGCACTGTACCATATAACAGTTCAATTGCACCTGGAGCTTGGGGAGCCTTTTTCAGTTGGGGGTATCTCTGAATTTCTATACAGTTTCTTCAAAATACTTGAATGTGCTGTCAACGACACCCTGCACTACAATATTGAACCCAGCGAAGCCACGTGCTCAAGCCACCCCGGTTTCCAAACGCAAAAGGGAATACATTGCGCTCTTCTCTTTGGCCACAGTAAAATTATTACCTCCCCTTTCTCACTGTATGCAGTTCATTGTTAGATGTTAGAGATGTCCCCTCTGGCCGAGAAGAATTGATGTCAAGAAAACCATGGTAAAAGTCTTTCTGCCTTTGTTAATGCTGCCTTTCTCCTACTTTGAGGCTGCAGGTGAGGTGGAGCCTCACGACTGGGAGCAAGTGGTCCGAGCAAACCACAAAGTGGAATTACATATTGAACAGATACTAGACTGTAGGAGATTAACAGGGAGCATGAACTGGAGCAGCACGTATGAAAACTACACCGTTAAAGTCAGATCTGTTTTACGTGCTGATTTCACAATCAGCCCTTCATATGTTTTGAGTGTACATTGACAGCATCCATGCTCAGTGAGCGCTGGCTTGTGACCACACATTGATTATGTGCTTCTGATTTTGGACAAGTTGCCAAGAGATCCAATGGCTGAAACTGGATATCTTGAAACAGCAACTAAAACATTGCACTTTTCAGGATTGATTATTCTGGTACATGAACTGTCAATGATTAAATAATGTAATACATGGACTTGAATTGGTTAAGAATACATCAGGCATTACAGATTTCATCAAAACATTTCATATCTATCATTTTTATGGTCAAGGATGCAAAAGCAGTCTTGTTCCTTTAATCACTCATGAGATTTAAGCATCAATGGCTGGGCCAACGTTTATTACCCATCCCAAATTACCCTTGAGAAGGTCATGGTGAGCTGCCTTCTTGAATTTCTGCAGTCTATTTGGTACAGGTACACACACACCGCTGTAAGGGAGGCAGTTCCAGGATTTGCACCCAGCCCACACTGAATGAACAGTGATATATTGTCAAGTCAAAGTTTAAATAAGAAATTGCATGCAGTGGCAGTTCACATATCTGCTGCTCTTATCTTTCTGGACAAGAATGGTCATGGGATTTGAAGGTCATGTCTAAGAGGACTTGGTGAATTTCTGCACTGCATCTTATAGATAGGAGCTGCAGTGTGGATGGTGGAGGGAGTGGATGTGCTACCAGTCAAGCGGGCTGCTTTGTCCTGGATGGTGTCAAGCTTCTTGAGTGTTGTTGGGGCTGCACTCATCCAGGCAAGTGGGGAGTATTCCATCACACTCCTGACTAGTGCTTGGAGGTGATGGACAGGCTTTGGGAAGTCAGGAGGCAAGTTCTTAAAAACTGTCCACATTTGTTTTTAAAAATTTATTCATTAATGGGATGTGGGTGTTGCTGGGCCAGAACTTAATCCAGCCCTGGCTACCGTTGAAAAAGGTGGTGGTGAGCTGTCTTCTCAAGCTGCTGCAATCTTTGTGGTATATGTATACCCACAGGGCTGTTAAGAAGGGAGTTCCAGGATTTTGACTCAGTGACATTATAAGAACAGTGATACAGTTGCAAACCAGGATGGTGCATAGCTTGGAGGGGAAATTCAGATGGTGGCATTCAAATGTATCATTCCAGGCAATAGCGGTCACAGGTTTGTAAGGTACTGCCCTCAGGCGAGATGACGAGTTGCTACAGTGCAACATGTAGATGGTACACATTGCAGCTATATGCTGGAGAGAGTTAAAATTAAAAGGTGTTAGATAGGGTGCCATCAAGCCAACTGCTTTATCCTGGATAGTCTTTTCAGGTAGTCAATGCTAAGAGCATGCTGGCAAGTTGGGGGAGGCAATAGCCTAGTGGTATTAAATCGCTGGACACTTAATCCAGAGACCCAGATGATGTTCTGGGGACCCGGGTTTGAATCCCGCTATGGCAGATGGTGGAATTTGAATTTGAATTCAAATTCAATAAATATCTGGAATTAAGGATCTAATGATGACCATGAATCCATTGTTGATTGTTGGAAAAACCCATTTGGTTCACTGATAGCCTTTAGGGAAGGAAACTGCTATCCTTACCTGGTCTGGCCTACATGAGACTCCAGGCCCACAGCAATGTGGTTGACTCTTAATTGCCCTCTGGGCAAAAGGGATGGGCAATAAATGCTACCTAGCCAGTGATGCCCTCCTTCCCATGAAGGAATTCAAAAAATTTATATTACTAGAAAAATATCCAACCCAAACGTACACCAGAAATAATCTTAGGAGCAGAAAGTACTGATTGTAATCCTGGAGGATCAGAGAGATATTAACTCTTAATAGCATGAAGAGCAAGGTGATTGTGACAGAGTCAGAATTATTCAAATATACGATCTCAGCTCAATTCTCAGAATTCTGCTAGCCTATGTAAATCATCTAAAGATGAGACAGTATTAAAAAATATGTTTAGCTGAAATCAGTCTCATCAAATTCCCACATCCTGACTGACACATTGCTACAATGAACTGGACTATAATGTACTAATAGATTACAGTTTTAGACATCTCAATATCTCAAAGGCTTAAAACATTGAAGCAATCAATTAAAGAGCTGCAGATAAGATAGCAATGGAATTGCCACTTCAGTTCTATTTTCATTTGCATCCAAACACGAGCTAGACTTTAATCTCCTACTCTGAGGCAGAGAAAAGCAGAGTATTCAACATCCAGACGCAATGAGAGCAGCTCTCCAGCCTCAACCTACTATCATGAAGAATGAGGGGGGAAAAAATATTGGACTAGATTGCCAATTCTTTTAGGCCCTTGAATTGGCAATGCTTTACATAGTAACAGAAGGATTTTTTTTTTTTTTTTTTTTTTTTTTTTTAAAATTTGCCCATCTGGCACCATCTTCTGTTCATGGGGTCTTTCCACTTCAGCATGGGCTGGCATGCTGAGCTCCCAGTTAGACCAACACTACAACCTTACTTCCATCCCTCAATTACACCAGCATCTGGGACCTGGAGTGTAAATTTCTTACCTGCACTTTGATCTCTCCTATACTCAATTTTTCCATGTTCTTGCCGAGCTCCTATTTTTCGTACTAACATTACAACATTCAACCACCTACGTTCTATTAATTTTTGCTCAACTATTATCTTGTTCTCCAACTATGGTAACCTGTTCTCCAGCACACGCAATTTAAAATTTAAACCCTTTCCATTGCCTCATCACATCCCAGTTCTGCAGCTCCTCTAGCTGATCAGTCCTTCATAATAAGCCAAAAGATTGCAGGTTATGTACTCGGTTTCCTTGGCTCATCTCTATAGCCAGTGCAATCTCCACACTGATACAAACACCTCTTTCAGTTGGACTTCGTAGCAGAGCAGCGATCACTATCTGATAATTCAGTGCACAATGTTAAACTGTGTGTTCAGCCAAGTCTAAATCTACATGCTAGAGAATGTTGTTTGAAAAAAGCATTGCCTCAGGAAAGCTATATTGCTGGAAGCTTTGCACATAAAAATGGCATCATTACAATTTGATAAACATTGCACAACAAATCAAATATTGCACTTCGATAATCTTAAACTAATGCATGGATTCCACTGATGATAAAACCAAAGTTAGGCAATATACTGTTGTAAAACTGTAACATAGATCAATTTTTTACCTCATTATCAGTGCCAACGTCGAGCATCACTGGTAAGCAATGTTGGGGATTCATTCCAACGCATGCTGTGTAGAGTGCTAGCTTACCCACTGGAATGCCCATTCCATAACTCCCAAGGTCTCCAAGACCTAAGATACGTTCTCCATCTGTGATGACAATAGCCTTAAGAAATGGCAAAAAAAAAGAGATTTAGACACAAAAGCAAGATTTACACTATGATAGCAGCAGAATCATTCATCAACACAGTTAAGAGACAACCCAAATTCCTATTCGCAAACTTAGAATGGAGAGTGGAAGTTAGAAGCAATGCATGTCGCTGCTGTTCATCCTATATTGGCTTTGAAGAATGTTTCTAGAAATCAGATATTTAGCAACCTAGCCATACAGTTAGCTGGTGGTGTTTTGGCTATTGGTCTTTAGAAGATTGATTAGGAAAGAGAGAAAAATATACAAGCACAGAAATTTTGCAAGGGGTTTCAACATAACTGGCAACAGAATCCATTGGTCTTGGATCAAGGTAGTTGCTTCCCTTATAATTCTAGTGGTGACCTATGGTGTCAGAAGAACTGAGAGCATTCCAGGGCAATGCCTGGGTGAGGCATTGGGAGTTTATTTCACAATTCTGCTCAGTTTTAGTTAATAACTCAAGTTAAAAATTGAGGTTTTTTGTTTAATTTGCAAATGGGAGGTGTTGAACCGTGTGGTTCAATTCCTCTGATGCCCATCTATGCAGTTCGCACAAACTTATGGATAAAGTGCTCATTTTACTCAAATATAAACAATGTATTTGAAGACAGAAAAGCACTCAAAAAATAGCTATAATCACAGGATTTGTCACTATTACACACAACCAATTTTACATCTCTTCCCTCCCATCGTTCCTGTTAACTCATGCTAGACTACAGGAGTCAGCAGCCCTGGATTATCACACCTTAATGACTATGTAGGCTCGCGCAAAAGTCAACAAGATTTAGCAGGCTTATAGACTCATGCGCCTGTTTCACTTAGCCCAACCTTAACCTTTCGCAAACAAATTTTAAAAGGAAATTGTCCATGGGATGTGGGTGTCATAGGCTGGATCAGCAGTTGGTGCTCATCCCCAATTGCCCTGGACAAGGTGGTGAGCTGCCTTTTTGAACCACCACGGTCTTCATGGTACAAGGACACTCAATGTTCCATTTGGAAAGGAGTTCTAGGTTTTTGAGTCAGTGACAGTGATATAGGAAACGGCGATATAGTTCCAAATCAGTGTGGCATGGAGGGGGAACATAAACTCGCTGCCCTTGACCTTCCAGCTGGCTACGGTCATTGTTTGGAAGATGCTGTCAGAGAAGCCTTGGTGTCACTGCATTGTCGTGTAGATGGTACACATAGCTGCTACTGAGTATCAGTGGTGCAGGAGACGAAAGGCCACTAGAATGAGATCAAGAGTGGGAATCCTGAATGAGATCTTTTACGTACAGAAGACAGATTGACTCTACTGTCAGCTGTCTTCATTTTGGCATTGATAGAGGAGTGAGCTCAGGCAAGAAGATCAAACAAATAGATATTATTAGTCTCATCATTCCAGAAAATGTACCTGTCTTATACTACTCTTCTCAATTTTGTAATTTCTCACCAGCTAAACTGTACCAAAGCACAGAAAGGAGATCTAGTATCTCTCAACCAGGGCCAAATGAACAGATGAGTCACACCCCTGTGTGAATTTGGAGTTCATGTATTAACAGCTGTGACTTGTGGACAGTTTGGGGCCTTGTGTGAAATGTCCTCTGGCAACCAACAAAAAGAAAAGCCAAAAGACACAAGATTTCAGTAAATACACAGCAACTCCAACATACCCGAATATCATTCTCCAGCCAGGACTTCAGAAGTGTAGCAATATGTCCACGGTCATGGATCGTAATAAAAAGACCCCTGAGAGAGATTAGAAATTGTCTTGTTATATGGTTTTCATTAAAAGTGTCTCACAACTTAACAAGCAAAACTCCAAAGGTGGGCGAGGTTAATCCCTAGAGATAGGAACCACCGCTACTCTGAATTCGTACACCATGTATACAGGAATTCTGCCAAGCCAAATCAAAATTATTGTTAATCATTATATATAGCAGGTCCAAAACTACCAATAACATAAATTAACCACAGTGCTTTCCAATGGCAACATACATGAATGCCCCAAATTATACATTGTACTTTACTATATAAAGTCAGACAACTTTGCAAGACTTTTTTTTTTTTAAAAAAAGGCAAATCCAAATAATTAGTCAAAGTAACTTGTTTTTCTAATCAACAAAGGCTTTCAAACCTGGCTATCCCAATAAAACTTGTGCACAGATCACAAAGCCATTAGGATACCATAGTCCGAGCTGTCTCTGTGCCAAGCACAACTAGATAACAAGGTTCAATTTAATTTGTAATTTCTATTAATACGTTCCAAACCAGTGTCTGGTATTTGTTTAAGAGAAACAAGCGTTGATTGCATTGAACTATGAAAACATGCCAATTCAATATGCAGTGCCATGTAATTAGTTGCTTCAGGGCCCACGCACCATTCATATTCACTTGCATGTATTTTTCTTGAGCAGAGGTGGATTAACTATGGTAGAAAGATGCATTTGTTGTCAGCTTTAGAAAGTCATGGCAGCCTTCAAAAACAAACCTTCACCAGTAAATGAACTCATGAAGCATCAGACAAAGAAAGCTGGCTCTATATCATGATTCTGCAATTTCACTGTGGGGTGCCATGTGAACTGAGTAGTCAGGGAGCATATTTAAACCATAGCATCCATTTAGAGGAAGACAAACACACTGCAACAGAAAATTGCTTTAACAAGTATTAAAGATTCACATATTTATATCATTTTACAATTACCAGTACTTTACCACTAAAATAAACAAAATTTCACCACTCAATTCAGTCTTCTGGGGGACTCATTTAGTGGTGGCGCTACGTATACCAAGTACAATGAATGACTAAAAGGTGACACTAAATTTCTTCATTCTTTTGTAGGCAGCTTGGCACACCTGTCTTTATTTACTGCCCAGTGATTGTAAATGTATCCAGGTAGACATTTTGTATGACTCAAGTCAGATAAAGTTGCCCAATTGATTTATTTCTGGACTTAGTCTGGAGTTTGGAGTTCACAAGGCTAAATCCAAGCTCAGTCAGCACTTCATTCCTGGAATGTTGCACAATGTCAAAAAGAATGCACATTTCACAAAACTGGTCATCTTTGAGAGGCAAAATTCAGCAAATCACGATGGCTGAATAGAATTCACCTGGACTATTTCCACAACCACAAGTTTGAAATCAATATTGTTCATATATATTTGTGCCCACACTTCCATAGTTTGGTATAAGAGTGCAATATTTCAACACCAATTACACCACACTTATGGATTTGGAAAAGAATCAGTCGTCTTGGTGACTGCATCCTGATCAAATGCATGCCACTTTAAATTCCTCTTCTGGAAATCTGCTTTTCAGGTGGTTACCCAGCAGTTAAATAGATTGAAGGATTGCAGCAGTGTCAACATCACTGTCTGCTCCAGACAGAATCTGACCTACTTCACTCCAATAACACAGATACTGAATTGTCAGTTTTTTCATCTTGGCCTTTGCAAGTGGCATAGTTTTAATTGTTGTCAAACAGCTTCTCAAAGAATTGCCACAGTAATACCATTTCACATGGAACATCATTCAGAGAGTTATCAATGCAAAAATATTATGATTGTGAGCATTTTCAGACCATGTGTGTTTATTAGGGCATTATATTTATTCATTTGTTCTTTGCAATACTTGATCAAGACATTGCAGGGTCACATTTTGCAAAGTGGCTTGACAACCATCTCACTACATTCAGAGATCAAACTGCCACTGCATCGTACTGACATTAGAAAAATCTTTTAACTTGCCCTTTCTTAACAGGTGAGCTGAACTTTGTATAAACTGTTTTTAGAAGCATTGCAATATCGTTCATAATTGAGACCTGCTTCCATGTATATATTCCAAAATCATCTCAGAAGTACACAGTGCTATTTCAACAAATGTTTGAATTCACTTTACAACACTGTTGCTATGCTATTTTCTTTTTCAAACATAACAGTAGTGGTGTGCGATGCTAGCATCATCTCAATGTCAAGACCACAACATAAAATTGCTCGATTGGTGTTACAATGTCATAGGCAGTCACTGTCAAAAAAGGTGAATCTTGTAAATAATTTCAGTTTTTTGAAATTTGATATACAAAATGTTTTTTTTAAATGACTACTTTCATTTACTATCAACATGAAGGTAAAGTCAATACAGTCTTACCACACCACAGGGCTGATCTCTCTTTAGAGAGACCACTGATGGTGGCTCAACCTCAGGGTCACCACACCTCAGGCAAGGGGAGCAGTGGAGAAAAAGTCCTTTGTTGCAACCTCAGCCAAAAGGTGTGGCTATGAACATGCGACTGGTGTAATTTAATCAGGATCAGTTTCTACATGATAAAGTCAATACACGCCACAAATTAAAGGGTGTAAATTTCACTGCATCAGTTCTCAGTAATTGCTCTATACTTATCCATATGATCATGAACGTCTTGCATAGAGAAAATTGACACATTCATCTTTACGGCAAGCTCAACATGATCAATGAAAAGTTTCACCATACTGGGATTGATCTTTTTGAGCTGTTTGCTCCATCCCTATCTCAGTAAAATTTCAACTTTGTTGTAGTTTTGTAACATTTTGCTTCAAACGCCACCTTAGGAAGTCCAATTTCCAACCTAACCATCTTTTCTCTAGTGCTGAACTCAGCTCCAAGTCTTTCTTTAAAAGTAAAGAGTGCAGAGGGTATCATCAGTTTCATAAGTGAATAGCCCAATTCTTACCTTCTGTTTGTGTTGAAGATGGCATTTGTTTCAAAAAAGCCTTTTTTGAATGTGCACAGAAACATAGGAACAAGGAGTAGACCAGTCAGCAGATGAAGCCTGCCCCATTATTCAACATGATCATGGCTGACTGAACACTTCAACACATCTTACTCACCTCATTGCATAACGCTGTATGCCACTGGTAATCAGAAATTTATCTATCTCTGCCTTAAGCACAGTCAAAGGCAGAGCTTCCAAAGTCCTCCGAGGGTTCACAACGCTTCACGTAAAAATTGTTCTCTCATCGGTCCTAAATGACATCCCCATTATTTTAATATTGGCCGGTCGTTGTAGACTCCTCAACCAGGGGAAACACCTTACTTGTGCCTACCCTGTCTATCCCTTCAAATATTCTAAGTATTAAATATTTCAATGCAATGAAGATCTTCATCTTCAAAACTTGAGAATGCATACCCAGTTTACTCAATCTTAACTCCTAGGTCAGTCCCACCATGCCAGAAACAAGCCTGGTGAACCTTCATTGCACGCTGATAAAGGAGACCAAAACTACACACAGCATTCCAGATGTGTTCTAACCAAGATCCTATAACGCTGTAGCAAAATTTTTACTACTCCCATTACTCAAATCCTCCAACATTCCATTAACCATCCTAACAGCTTGCTATAGCTGCACGTTAGCTTTCAGTGACTTATTGACAAGGTCAAATTTCCTTCGTACAGCTTCACTTTTCAATGTCTTCTCGTTTAAGAAATCTGCACACCTCTTCCTCCTACCAAAAAGTGGATAACCTCAGTGTTCCACATATTCCATCTGCGATGTTTCTGTCCATTCACCAAATCTGTCCATATCCTCCTGAAGCTGCTTTACAGCTTCCTCACAGCCCAGACTCCTGCTTCATCCGCAAATTTGGAAATAATACTGTTTGCCACCTCCAAATCATTGGTGATATGCTGTGAACAACGGGGTACGAGGTACTGATGTTTGCAGTACCTCATTAGTCAGCCTGCCAACACAAGAGTTACCTGTTCACTCCTACTCTTGGCTTTCTGTCTGTTAGCCAATCAATAATCCCACCAAGCGCATTACTTCCTATCCCATGTGCTTTCCTTTATCTAACCAGGATTTCCTGTCAGGGCTTTATGATAAGCTTTCTGAAAAAGGATGATAAAAGGAGAACTGCCGCACAATGTTGTTAGTAACAACTTTGGAAAAAAACTCCAACCATTCACAAATCCATGCTGACTACGCCCAATCAGATCATTATCAACCAGGTGTATTTATCCCATCCTTTATAGTAGATTCTAGCACTTCCCTGATTCCTGACTATTACTTTCCCTAACCTGAAGTTCCCGGTTTTATCTTTCATTCTCCTCTTAAACAGTGGGGTGACATTTGCTACCTTCCACAGGATTTCTTTTCTATGCAGCTTTCAGACTCCTTTGGTTTTCTTCTGTACATCTTTTTCTAGATATTTTTAAACTTATGAAAAAAATGTAACTTGCTACTGTCATTACATACTTCTGAAGTGACTTTTTTTTTTTTAAAAAAGTCACATGGGACAGGAGCGTCACTGGCTGGCCAGGGTTTATTGCCCAATCCCTCTTTGCCCTTGAAAAGGTGGTGGTGTGCTGTCTCCTTGAACCACTGCAGTCAATATGCTGAAAGTTGATCCACAATTCCCTTAGCAAGGGATTTCAAGGATTTTACCCAGCAGTGAAGGAATGGCGATGTATCGATATTTCCATTTCAGAATGCTGAGGGGCTTGTAGAGCACCTTGCAGGTGATTAGTCTCTCACTTATCGGTTTTTCCTTTTGAGATGGAAGTGGTTGTGGGTTTGAAAGGTGCTGTTTCAGGAACTTTGGTGAATTTCTACAATGTATCTTGTGCAATAGTACACACTGATGCAACTGAAATGATTTTTTGTGGGGGGGGGGGGGTGGTGTGGGAGTGAATGCTTGCTTGTGGATGTGACGTCATTCAAGCAGGCCACTGTGTCCTGGACAGTGTCATGCTTGAGCTGCAGAGTTCCATCTA